AAAAAACTGAAAAAAAATGTTATATATTTTCATAACTTCTTTTTTATATGCCTATCAAATAAAAATACATTGATATGGGAAACAAACTGTCAAATTTATTGTATTACTATAAAAAAATTTAATCGTCTTAATTTAATGGCAAAAACTTCACATATCAGAAAAATAAATATAGTAACTTTTAAATTTATTTAACTACTGTTTTTTTCTGCTGTTGCATGTAAGAATGGATGTTCAACATTTGAATTTATCTCCAATTTACGTTATCAAGAAAATAGAAAGGTATATCGAAATACTGCGAAGTACTCTACTAAGTTGAATAAAGATATAAAGGGTCATTTGCATTTGTGTAAATTATTCAACAAATTTTTGGAATGCTAAGGCTTGATAATAACAAAAAAAAAAAAAAAAAAAAAAAAAAGAGGAAAGAAAATGAAGTGAAATAATTTCAAAGTATTTTAAAATTCGACTTCTTGTTTTTAAGGTATAAACTTTATTTCATAATTTTACATTTTTAAAAAATAAATTGCCTCTGATGAATAACTGTAATTATAAGCACAATAATTTAAACTGTTGTAATTCGGGAAAAGAAATTCTATCACTGTGCGTCGAAATTTAAATTTTGCTCTTATATAGTGGCTCCCGAGAATTCGTACACCTACGAATTTCAATAAAATACTCGTTTATCCATTAATATTTCAAAATGAGAATTTTTACAAATATTTTTTTCTTAATAAAACCACATTGAAATTTTTAGAAACGTATTAACTATTTCTCTTTAGAAACTCAAAAGTTACCTCACAAAAGTCTTCTAATACATGGAAAAACTCTCCGCACACTAGTAAATATAGTAGCATTTCAGTCAATTAGTACTTTGTAAGATATTCTGCAGTATCAACAAATTTTAAATGTCTGGCTTTTGAGTTTGTTTTTAATTTTTGCATTAGTGTCCTTCCATCATTAATATATTTAATTTGGTTTTCATACTCTGACCTATAGCTCCCTCTAAATGTGTTCTAATGAATTTAAATTCAACAATTATGATGCTATATTCAGAACTTGTGGACAGTCCTAGACATTATAGTTGAATGTTGACAGCAGTTTGCTTAGGATCATCATCTTCATATGTATTTCCAATACCTAAATTTTGAGCTGATAATTATAAATTGTTTTTTAAATGTGTAAATAAAAGGCATGATTCATTATGCATTATTATTATTCCACCAATATATATCAAATTGCTTAGCTCTGATGCTGATAGGCACCCCTTCACACAAAAAATCCACTGCCATACTTTACTATTCTCAGTAAGTTCTTTTGATTAAGTTTCTCTTTTATTCTTCCCCATAAAATTATATGTCCATTGAAACCAAAAATATTAAAATTCACCTTCATCTGCAAATAAGACATTCCAATGTGTTTAAATCTAAGATATTTCAAAGTTTAACACTGATTTCCCTAAGGAAAGCTTAAGATTTCTATTTTTCACTCTTACAAAAAAAAAAAATTGTAAACCAGAAAGCATCCATGTAATCCTGTTGTTCTGAACACTCGTTGAACAATTTTGCAAGAAATTGAATGGGGAAAAATATGCAAATTAAGAAGTACTAGAGGGCCAATATTAAAATTCATGAATTAGAACATAAATGTTGAATTCTTAATTGTAATATTTTGTCCATGTTTAAGGCTGTAATTTTTACTGTATTAAAATTCTTTTCTTTCATTTTATTTTAAATCTTCATTAGTTCTTTTTTAGCTATTACATCTTAAAATGATATAACAACTGTTAGCACATTTAGGTTCTGCTTTGTAATCAGCTCTTTTACTATAAGTTTTTTTGTGTATACATATGCATATCATGCCTTATGGCATCTATATAGACATTTCACAAATGTTAGCCATATCTATGATCACCCATGTCTCTTTAGTTTAATCCAACTTTTTGATTTGTATAGTAAAAACAGTTTTTTAATGTTATATAGTTTTTGTTATTTACAAGTTTATAAACTAAACCTTTTCAAAATGCATTTATTTTTTTTATTTGTTTTAGATTGGAAAATGACTAGATCGAATGCTATTAAGCTGTATAGAGATTTGTTTAAATATTCCAAAACATTGAAATACACAGATAAAAATTATTTTCTATGTGAAGTTAAAAAGCAATTCAATAAAAATAAGAGCTTGACAAATTCAGAAGAAATTAATTATCAGTTCAAGGTATGTTTTAGTTTCATCGTTATTATATGCTTTATTCATATTTTAAATAGTAGAATTTGGATTTTAATACTTAAAAATTAACTAAGTAATGATTTCCTGTCTGTAACCCACAGGCAAAATTTTTGGCTAGATAAAATAAATTTGGTTTAATACGCAGGTCATTCATGGCTGTTTTATAATATGTCTGTCAAGTTTCTGCAGTCATGGCTTAAAATTAAAAGGCTTTTTTAGATTTAAGAAGTTTGATGCCACAATTATATTAAAAAAATTAAAGTAATGGATAAATGAAGAAGATATGCTTTATAAAACTATGATAAAAACAAAAGACTTTTTTGGGGGGGTATTTAAAGTCTTTTTCAGTCGAGAGATTAAGTTCTTGATTAGTATTACAGTTAATTGTTAATTTGACTTTCTGTAAAAGTATTTTTAATTTCTATAACTGTATGCTAGTACCTTTTCTTCCACTTCCATCCTTTTTCCTACACACTAATGTAGAATAATTTTTTGTATAATTATGACTCTCGTCTATTGTTCACACAAGTGGGGTTTTTTTTTTTTGTGTGTGTGTTAAAATTTTTTTTTTTTTAACAAGATTTTGTCAGTATCTTTTGGCAAAGTATTTTTAGGTGATGGTTTTATATAATTCATTTTTATGAAACTTCTGGGGGAAAATGTTGTTTGTAATTGTAGACATTGGCCTATAATCCTTTTTTTCTCAACACCTTACCCTCATGCTAGCCACCCTACCAGTCAGAAATATTGAATATTGGTGGGCCTTATGTAGACCATGAACAGCCAATCGTCAGTGATGGAGAGGATAGCTCCATCTGAGAGGATTTTTAGAGATTATTACCTCACATTTGCATGTCTTATGGGAGAAAACCTGGAAAATTCTCATCAGGCTACCTTAATTATTGATTTAAGCGTTTTACACAAATTGTCATGATCACCACCAAGTCTACTCGTTCTACAACAATACTGCCAGCGGATCGAATCTCGGCTCTCCTATATTCTAGCTGCTTATATGTTGCCCCAAGTTGCGCTGGTCTGTAATATTAAATAGACCTCTATAAACTGAAATATTTTAATATGTAATCCACAAAGTATAGAAAGGAAATTATGGTATTTTTAAATCAAAAAGCATGCTTAATTTTTAATTAGAGAATTTATAGAGATGGTATATTTTCATATACATATTATGCCAAATAGAGCTCTATCAGTAGACTTTGATGTATGCCTATGAAACTAATCATGTATAAGCAAAACAAGAAACAAACTTAAATAAAATTGTGAGCTATTTTATTTTCTTTCGATTGAAAAAATACAATAGCCTCTCATTTTATTATACATTTCAAGGAACAAGAAAAATTATACTGTAACTAGCAACTCTATATATGTATGAATTTTAGCAATGGTATTTAAAATTATAAAATGAGGTTTGAAAATAAAATATCTAGTTTCTTCTTTATAATTATTTAGGTGTTTAAAATATTCAGGAAATGGGAGGGAGGTGAGGCAAATACTATAAGGATTTTTCAGCAAATTATATCAAACCTCTTTTCTATTACATGCTACAAAAGTGACATCTTATTGGTAGAATTACTTTTATCTGCTGTCCATAGATTTCTTTTTATGTTAATATTAAAAATAAAAACATACAAAAAAATGTGATTTTAAGCATGTATTGTGTAACAAAGGATTTCTGTAGTATAAATTAGCATATAAAACTCAACTAAATAATAAATATTTTCTACAATCTGGAGAACAATTTAGTTGATTATTTTAAAATCTAATAAAAATTTGATTGGTTTGGGATTATTCATAAAAAAATATAAACAAAATTTTAACTGTTATTAGACTGATAAAAAAAAAATCTACTAAAATAGTGACATCTATAAATTTTACTTTCAATTGAAAAAATTATTTATTTATATTTTTAATCTTAAGCACTGTCATAAATAAATAATATATATATAAGTTGTTTTTTCCCCCTTCTGTACAAATTATTACTTTATTGAGGTAATACATAAAATTCAAAATTATTAATTTCATTTATGATTTATTTTTGTGTTTGTTTGCTTTTTATTTGCTTATTTAGTAATTTGCCTTTCTTTCCAGAGAGGAGAAAACTTTTTAAAAAACAAAAGGCTTCTTTGAAAATTTAAGAAAAATTATGTCATTATTACGATACTGTTACACTATAAAAAAACAGCCCATTGTAACATTTCTTAGTTTTTACAAACAGAAGAGTACCATAGATTATTCAATATTTCCAAAATTAGATGAAAAAGATGTTGAAGAACAATTCATACAAGGACATGGGCCTGGTGGTTCTAATGTTAATAAATCTACAAATTGTGTTTTGTTAAAGCACAAACCTACAGGTATGTAAATAATAAATATAATTACATTTGAATGTTGTCTATTTATTGTAATGAACTTATATATTTTACAGGGCACAGGTATTTTCACTAGTATAATGATTTTCTGAAAAAATAATGCACCTCTATATAAAACATTTGAACCAGAACAAAAATATTTATTATTTTGAAAGTATAACTGTTATGTATGAGAATGCACAGAAAAAAAAAATCACAAAAATTTAAAAGTCAGAAAATTTGAGCAGGTTTAATTGTTGTAGTGTAATTTGTTGCAACACAATAAATTCTTTTGTTTTAGTTCCAGCTATAACATGCTAATGAGATACCATAATTTCTTGTCTCCAACCCATTCGTGTATTTAAAAAATATATAAATATATATCTTTTATAATTTTTTTTTTTGCCAATGGCCGTACCATGCTTAATATACCGGTTCTCGTTAGATCACCGAAGTCAAGCATCATTGGGCACGGTCAGTACTTGGGTGGGTGACCACCTGGGAAAACCCGTGCCGTTGGCAAATTTGGGACCTGAATGGCCGAGTGTCTAGCGCTCGGTGCCACAGGTTTCGGGTTCGAATCCCAGCGGTGCCATGGATGTTTGTAGTGATTCGGAATCCACTTTAAGCCGTAGGTCCGGTCTCCTATGACTGTAAGAGCGTCACGGAGCAAAAGTCAGGCTTCTACCTACGGGTGCTCCATCACAACAGAAGCTGCTTCCTTCCCCTTCAATCATGAGTACGTACGGGCTCGTGGGCTTGGCCAGCCAAGTGGGATAAGAAACAACAACAAACATAAATTTTTTGCTGAATATTATAAGCAATGTGGGGATGTTTGGTTTTTTAAAAGTGTTTTTCTTAAAGTACCATCTAAAAATATTTTTTGAAATAGAAGAAGACTGTAAATTCCAGTGCAAGAAAAATACAATACAATCTTTTTAAAATGAATTTGTACTTATGAAAGCTGCATGTAATAAAAGGTAGCTTTACTTTTATTGAAAAAAAAAACAAGATTGGAGGCATCTTGGGGAAAAAAGACTCAGAAACAAAATAGATTTAAGAAAGCCAAATTGTATGCAAGATTAAGATTTCCATCTCTTTTATAAATATAAACACTGTAAAGATATGTTTTTTTTTTCTTTTTATTGTGATTCATTCATACATATATATATTATTTATATATGTGTAATAAAAATTTTTTTGCTTTTATTTTCTAATCTTAGTTATTGTAATAATCTCTATTATTCTTGAGTTCTACATCTTCTCATAACAACCATTGTGCCTTTCTATAAGTAATTGCTTCCTTAACATTTCTGTTTATAAACTCTTTATATTTCTCAAATTGTATAAAATACTAACCATAACATTTATCATTTGTTTTTGTTTTTTTATTATTATTTCATTCACTGTTGCTTCCAGTCACCTCATCCTTCAGATGTACTGCCTTTCTCTCTCCTGCCTTCATCCATAACTGGGCCAAATTCTTTAAGTCTCCATGTTGATAAAATGAAGTAAAAAAAGACTCATGATTTTTATGTTCAAAATCCATTTTTCTTTCGATTTCAATTTGAAGCAGTTCCAGGTTTAGTTTCTGTGTATCATCTCACCAATCTCCACCAATTTTATTGTTCAATATGTTAATCTTTCATATTTTTGGCCCCCCCAAAAAAAATATCTTGGTTCAAAAATGTTATGTTAGTTTAATAACTTAACCACAATTTTTTAAAAAAACAACTTCAATAATTCGAGAATTTCAAATAAGATTGAAACAGCTTCTAATCCACAATGCTTTCTATTAAATTGTTCCTTCTATATTACCTTTTAAGTGCCAACTATCCTAGCTCATACCTCTTTTATTGTAATTTTTTGAAATTGTCTACTACTTTTTATCATGATTAATGAATTACCAGAAAAAAAATCCTTTCAAAGAACACTTCACAGATTTTATTCCAATGATTTTTTATTTTTCAAAGCAATATTATTGCTTCATTAAATTTTGCTTTGAAATACCATCTGTTTTTAGGGGAAGAGGACATTTTAAAGTGACTTTTTTAGGCATTTTAACTGCTACTTTTAAAAGATAAGAAAAGACTGTAGACTATAAGTAGCAGCACATAATCTGCAATTAGCTCTTATTGGCCTTGGCGTTTCTGATATTTGATTATTGAATTTGTTAGTAAGTATTCAGTATGACAATAATATGGCACAACCGTATTTTTACAAAAAGAATCGAGAGCTGCCATGTGTTCTATTTAATGTATGGTTATTATTTTATTTATTAAATTCCTTACTTTGTTGTCATTTTATTAAAAGTAGATATCATAAAATTAAAAGTGAATTGTCGAAAGTTATGCATACTAATGTGTCCAAAAAGTAAGACCAGGTTTGAATTTAAATTTCCCGGGCATATGGTATTTCAAAATTTTTTTTTTTTTTTTTTTTTCCCCTAGGTTGTTGGCACTGTCCTTCACATCTGTGTGAAATTTTACATCAAAATATTCATTAGTGTTTGATTTATGCTTGGTTTTGTGAGATGCTAAAACTGATTCCAGCGATTGTTGAAATGTCTGAATTAATTGAGCAAGAAGTTGCGTTAAATTTTGTTTGCAGAAACGTATAGAATCCTGCAGGAGGCATTCGGTGAGCATTCCTATATCGGAAAGAAATGTTTTGAATTGGTAAAAACAGTTCAAAGAAAGCAGAGAACGCATTGAAGACGAAGAGCCCTCTGGTCGGCCACAAAACTTCAACCGACGAAGCTCACGTACAAAAAATTAAAGATTTGGTGCTTGAAAACCATCGATTTACAATTAGAAACCTTGCTGATGATGTTGGAATTTCAAAAGGATCGGTCAATTCCATTTTGGGCCTCAAACGCGTCAAATCTCGATTGGCACCGAAAACACTGAACGCGCCAGCTCACACTGCATTGATTCTTCGTGACCTTTTCGCCAAAAATGAAACCCATATCATTCCACAACCACCGTATTCACCTGATTTAGCATCGTGCTACTTCTGGCTATTCCCTAAACTCAAAAGATCACTCCGGGGACACCGTTTTGAGTCGATTGAAGAGACATTTCAAAAAACGCTGGAATCAGTTTTAGCATCTCACAAAACCAAGCGTAACTCAAGCACTGATGAATGTTTTGACGTAAATTTCACACAGATTTCAAGGACATTACCAACAACCTAAAAAAGAAAAAAAAAATTGAAAACTGGTCTTACTTTTTGGACACAGTAGTGTGTTTGAAAACTAGCTTTGTAAAGTGATAAGAAAATTTAAAAAATTTTTAAAGGAATTGTTGTGAAGTGCCATGAATCAAGACTTCTGCAAGAAAATCAAAAAATTGCAAGAGAAAGATTACTGAATAAGCTGGATGAGCACTATAACAATGATATGAGTGTGGCTGCTCAAAAGAGAAGAATAGAAAAGGCAAAACAAATCTCTCGGCAATTAAAGAGTCAAAAAGTAAGATTACTGAAAAAGAACTTTCTTGAAAGTAACTCTAAAAATAAATCTTGATGTATTTTTATTTATTTTTGTACCTTTTGAATTATGTTTAAAAGTTTGTAATTGTTTACTATTTAAATTTTTAAATAAAAATCATACTGAATGTTTATCAATTTGAATTCTATTAAAAATGTATATTCATTCTGTAAAGCAATAGTTTCCTTACCTATTTTACTTATTGCCACCTTTTCAGAAAAAATTACTATCACCAACCTAGAAATCACTCAACGAACATACAGATACACTATTAAAAATAAAATAGAAATATGACACCAGGAAGAAAGGCAGTAACAGTTAGTTGAGAAGAGAATTGCAATCAGTGCATAAATTTGTTGTGTTTATTAATAAGATTAATTGTGATTGGCACTGAAGTCAGTATTTCATAATTTATTTAATGAATGAATTGTTGAAGGCTTTAAATTAATGCAAGTTTGCAAATTAAGTTATACTCTGGCATCATCATTCTTAAATAGCAACTATTTATGGTATCAAATTCTCAACAAGTCATTACGTACGCGTTTTTGCTGATGTAAGCCATACTCTTGACAATGCACGACAAGTTCGTCTACCAATAATAGCTTGTTTCGGTCTATTGGTGATTATAATGTGATCATTGATCGATTATAAATATTTTGTGTGTTTACCTGGAAAATATTACATACCGGGTGTAATATGTAGGAATAATTTTTCCAAATTCTCTTTCTACTTCCGCTTTCTTCTTTTTATAAAATGCACCTAAGACTGATATCACCTTTGAATATTGCCTAAAGGGTGTATTGCCCACTTTGGAAACTATTGTTGCAAGATATTATGTGATTTGATATAAAATACACTCAAGAGCCAAAACATTATGACCACCTGTCAATAACGAGTTGGCCCACCTTTCGCGCGCAACACAGCTTCAACCCGCCTTGGCATGGATTAATACCAGTTAAATACCACTTCCACCTGATCACGTGCCAGGCGAGTTCATTGCAAAATATAGGGGTGGTCATAATGTTTTGGCTCTTGAGTGTATATCAAATTTTCAATACACATTTAATGGTAAAAGAAAATAAATTTAACTCACAAAAATTGAAATGTATTTTTCAATTTGAATTCTTCATTATTTATAACGATTGAAATTTGAGGTTTGAAATACAACATTTTGGATATTTTAAGCTGTTAAAATGAAATTTATCTATTCAATTTAAGATTTTTTTATTATTTTATTTAAAGATGTGAAAAAAGTTAATATTTGTTGATACATAAATTAATAATTTAAAAATATATTATTGAAGGAGTGCTGACTTTTTTATATGAACACTTCTATAAAAATCAATCTTACAATCTCTAAATTTTGTTAGCATCAAATAATAAATGGAATTCAGTTGTATCTAATGATACTTGATGTAGAATTTTAAGAAGGCATAATCAAGAGAAGCTATGTACAAGGCATTATTCGTGTAAGTATAAATATGTCAAAATGAATTTAAACTGATTCTTCAGATATGGTATTGGCACAAGTTGTGACTTTAATTTAGATATTTAATTATAATAACACAACACTTAAAGTATAACAAATTTTTACAGGCTAATTTAATTTGTTACGTAGTCGGAGAGATATGCTTGCTGTTGGCACATTTTTTCTGAGCGTCGTCGTTCGGGAAAGGGAAAGCTTGGAGAGTCGACTTCGGAAGCTGAGTTCCTAAAGGCTCGTTCCCACCGAGGCGTGAGGCGCTTAAGTGTGAAGCGTTGAATAATCACTAGCCTCACCACTTTCACCTGAAACCGGTTTGAAATCCACCGCTTCGAGTTGACCAACTTTCAACTCGAAGCGGAACTTCACTAGGCGTAATGCTATTTCTGAAGTTTTGCTGTGAAGGGGTCGAAAAAATTTCTTGCCTGCCGCGTGAATCTTCAACGCTTTGTGGGATCAAGCCTTAAAACCCGGCCACAAGAGAACGATTGAGTCAGATTCGCTAACCAATTATAAACCGGTTTTTATAACCCTCCGTCGTATCT